TTGCACATGATTGTCACATATTGGTCACCATCACGTTTCCCAGTCGCAGTCCAGCGACGATGTTTACACTCAGCTTCGGAACTTTCACCACTACAACCAGTGTAGATTCTGGAAGATTCTGGCGATCAGGGTTGTGGTGACACACCAATGGAAGCAACCATTCACAGATGGTGGCACCATGATCTACTCAAATCTAATTACATCATAGAATCATATTAGATCTATAATGTATAGTGTATAATGATTGCACTTGGCGTCATGGATGTCAGAACTGGTTGCCACATGTTGGCCAGGACCCCCGTCGCAAGAGAAACAGTGGATTCTTCACAACCCTTCGTGCTTGTTCCACTTGCGCCGAGAGAAGGCATATGTGTCGCTCGCGCCGACGCCAGGCTTCTATTTCTTTTTGACCTATCAGTCTGTGACCCCAGGGCTTTTGGTTATGGCCGTTCGGCGGAACTTGAGCCTGAGGCCTGAGGTTGCACGGCGGAAGAGCTTCCCAAAACGGAAAGCACACCTTCCAAGCGGCGCAGGGTGTTTAATAGGGTTTTTGGGAAAGCCCTGCGGTGCCCAAGCAGCAGTCTGACCACGCAACTGAAGCCAGCAGACACCTTCACGGTGAATGGGCAATAAAGACTCAAAGACCAATCAGGGATCCAAGCAGGTCTGTTTGTGAGGCATCTGATGATCAGCTGGGCAGTCCTGGGCATGTGACAAGGTGTCATTCACAAAGATATTCTGTTACTGGAATGTCAACTCACAAATACTCTGGATGGTGGGGCTTGGTCAGAGTATTCCCGGAGGTTTCCCGGTTTGCGACGATTCACCAACCCCCTGGTCCCCACGGGTTCTTGTTGGTTTTAGAAGCTACTAGTCACAAGGATGCTATTGGGTGGAGGCCCTCGCAAGTAGGTTGGAGGCCACTACTGCTAGTAACAAGAAGCTACTAGTAGCGATGGGTTTGTAGTGTGTCCTCGGCCTGGTTGAGGAGCCTTCGAGTTCTGCCGGAATACCCTGTGTGGTTGCAGTTGGCTTCTCAGCACAGTGCACAGCAGTGCGTTGGTGGGTGATCGCTTCTAATTATTGATCCAACATGTCTTCTTTGCGTCGCTTTTGAATGTTTCCACCTTGGAACGCTCGAGCCATGTGTTAAGTTTCCATAAGTTTCCCCAAAAATCTAGGAACCAAATGAATAGTGCGAGTGCTTCTTCAAGGAAGCTTTCCCCGCCGCCTTTAGGCTTCCTTGAAGAAGCGTGAGCTATCGTGCGTCCTAAGTAGTAGCTTAGTAGCTACTTAAGCTACTAGCTATCTCTCCCTACTAGCTACTAAGCTACCACCTCCCTGTGGGACCCCTCCAAACTGGAAGTCTAGAATCCATTTTGGCTGTTCTTCTCCAGAGATGTCGAGCTCCAATTCGATCGATTTCAGACGTCCAAGGCCCTTCGATCCACTCTTTTCGGCTGCTTGGTCTATATCATGATGTCTTGGACAGCAGCAAAAACCAGGAGATGTTCATTCTTTGAATTTGGTAATAGTAGAGGTCGAACGAAAGCGCCATGCTAGGTCCTGTTTGTAGAAACCAGGCCACGTACAAGGGGGGGGCGATTTAAGTGAGCGCTCAGGCCACGGCCTTCCTGGCGATCTTCCACGCCATTTTCCTCATCAATAGTCGGGATCCCACTAGCCGGACTCCTGCTTCGTTCGTTTGGGTCTCAAGAAGAAAGGTCTGGTCTAAAGTCTAAAGGAGAACTTCAATAACTCTTTCAGTTGTTGGGCTCCAAAGAACAGCACTTCAGGAAGAATGGGGATGTCGGACTTCCAAACGGATGGGTATCGGCAAATTTGTGGTCACAGACGTTTCTTCTTCTCATAAGAAGCGACTCGCTTTGCTATATGCTGTATGTCTTGCTATATTGTTTTTACTTGTTGTTGTTTTCATTGATGTGTTTGGCTTTTCTGGTATTTCCTGCTGTGTTCCTGCTTTGCCTGCTTTTGCTCTATGCTTTGCTTTTGCCTGTTCTTTGGTAGGTCGAAGGCAAAGCTGTGATGTTTGGCCTGACTATGTTGGACTTGTTTCTTTATATTTATACATGTGTTTTATTTGTTCTGTCGTTGTTGCAAGCATGATGTCTTGTGGTTGTCGTTGTTGTTACGTTTTTCTTGTCGTTTTTGCTTGCTGCGTATTTTTGCTTGTTAATTAGCATTTTGGCTTGCATTGCTTTGCTGCTTTGGTTGCTTGCTTCGCCAGTCCGAGCGCCACTAGCAAGTCAAGGATGAGTGAGTAAGCAAGCAAGCTACCATTCTGTAAGAAAGCACATACTGTAGGCCAATTGCCACCAATAAAGCAAGGAAGAAAGGAAGGTAGTAAGCAAGGAAGCAGGAAAGCAAGGAAAGGGGCATTTATAGTGTTTACCTCAATGATAGAAGAAATTGTAGCGGCTATATATATTTATAAATATACAGTATATTCTATTTGACTGGTATCCGGGAAGGTGCCTGGCAAACAAGTAACATAGAAGACAATTATAATAGTAATTATTTGATCAAAATCATCAAGTTTTGAGTATTATTCTGCTCAACATAATATATATTCTATTTGATTGTGGGATTTTGTGGTGGATCTTCTATTTGGCTTTGATCTTCTATTTGACTTTCCGATTCTGCCTTTGCTACTGTTGTTTAGTATTCGGGGTTTTTGATTGTCCTGATCCTGGCCCAAGAAAGCATGTGGTGGACAGCAAAAGCAGAGAATCCTGGATGTTTTCTTCAGAAACTGGAATACATATGGAATGCTACCGCTTTAGGCTTTACGGGCTTCCCAGTGGCTTTTCCAGCGTGCAAGACGACATGCTCTTGCGCTGGTGTTTCCTTGACGGTTAACCTGCCTGAGGACTTGGCAGGCTTGGGGTCAATGCTAGCAAAGCATTACCAATTCTAAATATAAATATATATATATACATAGAACACTTGCAGTTGGAAAAGGATGGGCGCAATTCTGCATAGAACAGGGAACAAAGTCAAACAGAATATAACTATTATTTACTATATGTAATTTTGGTATAACCGTATAACCATGAACCCGCAAAAAAAAGGCTTAACATATATATATATATGTATTCTACTTGACTGCCAATACTATCTTCTTTTTGACTTTTTCTGATGACTCGACAATAAGACATCCCAAAGCACAAAAACAACTCGAGGTTTTTGTCACTTTTTCCCGGCCAAGACCGGTCATGTTGCGAGAGTGGCTCCCAGACGGGAAGATCTGGTTCAAAAATCCAAGAATTTTCCTCCGGAGGGCTCTGAGCCATGTTTGGGATAGACAGGCAGGATTTGCTGTAAATACAGAAAAGTCTGGCTGGCTTCCCAAAAATCTCTCAAGAGGTTTTGACTAAGAAAGGCCAAATTGGATTTCAGGAGCTACCTCTGCGGCAGTGAATATCTTCTATTTGATTTGCTCTCCGGGAGCCCCCAAAAGTGCATCTTCTATACCCGAATATCATCGCATATCTTTTATTTGTGTGGTAAAGAGTATAGCTACGTACTAAAACTCCACTCCACAGTAGTTTGCATGCTCTTCAAGCTTTGCATGTTCCTCCCCGAAACCTTCCTGCATGTCCCCACATCACTCCCTGCCGCGAGTTGTCCTCTCTTCGCAGCTCCCACACAACGACAAGCTACACGACCCTATACCTACCCTATTCGCCCGAACTCAACCCAACGGAACCCAACCCAGGTGCTGTACCTGGCTGTGCAATCCCAGAAGTCCACAGGAGGTCCAGCGTGTACCCGCCAACGGTGCCAATGCTGTGGACGGTGCGCGCAAACTGGTTCCAACAGGGTCTGCCAAGCAGGGAAAGGTTCAGATACACGCACACTACCACCAAAGCTCTAAAACAATAGCAGTAGAAGTGGACGACATGTTGCCCAAAGCATTGCCCAATACCACAGCCCAATACCACCAGCGAAGCTTGAACCTGTGGTTGGAAACTCTCACCGAAAAGGACAATCCCCAAGGACAACATCCTCCCCGTCGCCGAGGAGAGTTGTGAGCCGAAACACCGGTGAAACCAAGCATGGACACCGAAAAAACGGTGCTAAAAACATGGAAATTTATAGCCGGACTGGAAGAACTGATCAAGGCAGTGAGTTTTCACAGCTAAGTTTAGGCTGAACATCCCCTTCATAGTTTCACAGTTTTTCTGGGGGGCTGGATGCTTGACTCTGTCAGACGGCAGTTTCTGACGGGAGGCTGTTTTTGTGAAGCCTGGTTATGTTGGTTGTTCCAGAGAGGTTTTGATTGAATATGGTGCAAAAACATGATTAACATGATACTGTACACCTTTTGTATGAGCGTTAATACAGGTGCAAGAACTTCAAGTCACAAATATGCGTTTGATGTCACGAATGGGTGCACTGCGCTGTTTTTGTGTTTTGCCAACGACAACGAACTGCCACAGACCTCAGGTTGGGTGTCCAGAGGCAAATTGAGTCAAGGCCAGCGTGGACATGTGAGCATTTTGAGGAGGACTCACAATGAGGAACAGCTCACATCCAACTGTTCACATGGGTTTTTTTGATTTAAAAACTGGACCCTGTGAGGTTTCTGCTTGGTCAAGCTTCCAAAGCATGTTCCTGATTGGTGATGATGTACTGTAAGTATCCTCACTTCACATGTTTTACAGGGCCCAACATGATCATCCGATGTTTCCACAGAGGTGCAAAAGGGAACCCGTGTCCCACATTGCCCGAACGTCACACGCTCCAACTCTTCAGCATCTGAGCGCCATGTGGCGTGGCCGTTCCTCGAAGATTCGGGAGATGGTTGTTTGATACCACATGTGTTCCACATGTCTTTTGAGTATACCCTGTGGACAGCCTGTGGATCCAAATACCTTCTAGAGAATGATTGGCCATACACCTGCTCAGAATGGTATTTGGATCCTCTGGGATAGTGTAGGTGTCACCGTCACTCGTGCACAGAATTTGCCATTGGCATGAGTGCGCCGCTCTTGCTGAATGTGCCTGTGCCGGGGTCGCCAAGCCAGCTTCAGGCAAGCTCTTTCAATCGCTAGGGTTCTGATCACAATAAGGGTTCAAGAGAGGACAATGCAGCCAGAAGGCCAGGATCTATTTATGCCAGCCAGGCCAGCTTCAAGCTCTTTCAATGACAGAATCTGGGACAATCAATCCAAGGGGGGGGGCACCAGTAAGAGCCTTTGGCGACGGAGAGCCTGGACGGAACGTAGGATCGAAACATGGAAAGGGTAGGGATGTATTGGCCGATCGTGAAGAGTTCTGCTGCATCAATAATTGCAAGTCGTCTCATTGCTATAGATTATTAATGATAGTTCAAATGTCACACCTTTTTTCGATTCACAGGGTTATATTTTCTCAGATCTGCAATCATTCTTGGCAACCCACCTATTTCATTGGAGAACCGTCACGAGTTCGAATGCTACAATCCATCCTTCTGAGGTCTTTGCACCTGGTTCTTCAAGGAGAATGGTGGGCCCCGGCACCTGGTTCTGCTCGCTCCACGACCCAATTCGGTTGCCGAGAAGGTCGGGACGGCTCAAGTGGATGAAAAAAAGGTCTACAGTATATAAAGGTCAAAGAAGAAAAGAGAAACAAAAAACATGAAAGATAATGCGACAAGAGAATATCGCAATGGGTGTGATTGAGATTGGGAAGATTCTGAACACGCAGGCGCCCTGTGAGGCTCCAAAGGAGGTGATTCCACCACAAAATCAATGCGCACTGATCAAGATCCCAGCAGGACAGGCAGGGCACTTCTTCGCAACTCCAGAAGCCAAGTCATTAAACTTATACCAGGTTGGAGGCCATTGCTATTACAGTAGGTTGGAGGCCATTGCTGTTAGGTTGGAGGCCATTGCTTCCAGGTTGGAGGCCATTCCTCTTCGGTTGGAGGCTATAAACCTTCTTGTTTTCCAGACTCTTTTCTATCACCGTTCATTTCGAGTTTTCTTCCCGCCCGTGGCCGCGTGGTGGGAACAACTTAGGAATCCAAAGCCGAGCCAGTTCTGAACAATCTCGGTGGTTCACCGGACGAGACAAAGCCGCCGTATGCCCAGGTCGAGGCACTCTCCACAGCCTATCCTGGCTGGAAGGGGGCACCCAGCAGGAAAATGATGGAATCCGGGGCGAGATTGGCAGACTCTTCTTCTACGACCATTGGTTTGAAGTTCAGAAACTTCAGTGGCTATTTTGTAGCATCTACTGTTCCATTCTATCAGAGTCAATCCTTTTTTGACACCAGAACGTACTGTCATGGCCTGCCATAAATTGCCAGTGGTGAAATGTTTGTCATCAATCTGAATATTCATCAGAGGAATTCATTGGACTGCATCCTGGCACACTTAGAATGTCTTGTCACGTGTGGTGTTCCACGATTGGTAAGCCCACTGCGTTTGTTTTCAGACACATGGAGCAACATGACAGTCCACGAAGCAACATCTTCTTCAGGCTCTTTTGAAGCTTATGCAAATTAGTTTGTTGAATCCATCATGTCTCAGGCCTGCAGTCTTCTTCTCCGCCAACTATGCCTTGGCTTGGGCAGGAGCTGTGTTTGAAGTTAACAGACTTGCAGATTTTGCTGTTGTTATTCTTCGTATGAATATCAGAACATGTGTTAAATTGTGTCTTCTTGGTGTTTTGTTCTTCCCCGTTCATCTCGTTCCTCTCGTTCCTCTCACCCATTGCTCGGGGATCTGAAGCGGCAGTTTTTGTTCCAAAACCCTCACCGTCACGTCGGTTTGGAGGCGGTTTGGCGGTTGAAGAGAAATTTGTTAACAAGACAAACAACTATACATTCAAAAGAAACATGCGCTGTCGGTTCAGATGAAGACTGAATCCAGAGCCAAGATAGCATCATATCAGATCAGTCTTTCAGTCTTTCTTATTGTTTGTTTTTTTGTACAGCTTACTACTGTATATAGTTGTAGGCACTCCCATGGCTGCTTGGTGTGGAAAACTGGTGACATGTTTCGTGTATGAACGGATACAGTGTATTGAGGGACTGTTGTGTCTTTGAAGTCTTCGAAGAGGAACCTTCGTAGAGAACTTGTGCATCATGTCTTGTGAGGCTGGTGGTGGCCCTTCACGAGCTTTGAAGCTGATTCTCCCAAACAAAATCCACGAGCATCCCAGAGAATCACCCGGGTTTCGCGATGAAAAGCAAGGTCAGACAGGTTCTTTCGGGTCTCCCTTTGGATTGCTGGTTGATCAGCACCCTAGCCGCACACTGGAGCGCATCAGAAGCCTCCATCACTTGCGAGCGCAGGATCTATGGTGACCTTGGTGCTGTCTCTCTACGAACGGAAGGTGGCCGGGTGAAGCACGACGTGAAGCACAGACCACTCGAGAGAGGTCCCTAGGTCCCATTGGTCATTGCTTTGGGGTCCAAAACAGCCTGAAAAGTGGATTCTTGCGCCATACACAAGACCGAGATCGATTCAGGGAGCCGTCCACCTCAGCAGAACCCGGAGTTGGCCATGTTTGGTTGTCCTGCATTTGCTCGCCAGAAAAACAGGGCAGATTGCCTTAGGGTAGGCAGTGTATAATTTTAATTCCCAGGAAGGCAGATGGCCAAAGTGAGCTTTTCAAAGCTGAATCAATAGTCTATACTGCTAGGGGATGCTTAGGTACCAGATGTTGGTATCTAGTTTGATCATGTTTGATCCACTTCCATCATCTTATATCATCTTCCATCCACTTCCTTTGGATTCCTGATGCAGTTACACCTTTGCAGGAAAATACCTGGCAAAACAAATAGTCCTCATAAGTGGTGACCTTCTCAGCGATGTTTGAGCGGTTCACGCGTTGGCTCCGAGCAGGTCTGCGATTTACAACAGCGTGCACTGCTGACCGTGTCGCTGGGACGACGCAGGGCTGCGCGTCCGGGACGACTGCAAGGAGCCCCTAATTTAATAGCTTCTTGCTCCTAGTAGTACGGCCAGGAGCCCCTAGTAGCGTCCTTGCTCCTAGTAGTAAGGCCAGGAGCCCCTAATAGCTTCACTGGTTGGAAAGCCCTCCAAGGCAGGCCACCGCTGAACACACTCCGACCGTCCGACCGCCACCGGTTCCGGGACGTCCCAAAGTGACCTTCACGTTCCGCTCGTGAAGGGCCAGCGGCGTGGAGAACCGGCCGTGGAGAACCGACAAAGTTACCGAATGAGGGAATGAACTAAAGCGAATTGGGGGTTTCAAAGTGATTTGGGGGTTTCAATCAATTGGAAGTTTACTTTCTCGTGTTCCATTTGTTTTTGTTCTCAAGTTTGTTGACAGTTTACTGTCAAGAGGACAAATTCAACTTTGGCATGCACCCATCACCAAGCTCTCAGTCAGACCAACACACCCTACGACTGAGGGCACTTTGTATCAGGTCAAAGGGTCTTCTGGTGCAGCGCTATATTAGGTTTGAGGACATCGCTGTTAGGTTTGAGGCCATCGCTGTTAGGTTTCAGGCCATCGCTGTTAGGTTTGAGGCCATCGCTGTTAGGTTTGAGGCCATAGCTGTTAGGTTGGAGGCCATCGCTGTTAGGTTGGAAGCCATAGCTGTTAGGTTTGAGGCCATCGCTGTCAGGTTTGAGGCCATCGCTGTTAGGTGTGAGGCCATCGCTGTTAGGTTGGAAGCCATAGCTGTTAGGTTGGAGGCCATCGCTCATAAGTTGGAGGCCATTGCTCATAGGTTTGAGGCCATCGCTGTTAGGTCGGAGGCCATTGCTTTTAGGTTGGAGGCCATCGGAGGCAGGCTGTTAGGTTGGAGTCCATCGCGGTTAGGTCGGAGGCCATCGCTGTTAGGTCGGAGGCCATCGCTATTTGGTTGGAGGCCATTGCTTTTAGGTTGGAGGCCATTGCTTTTAGGTTGGAGTCCATCGCGGTTAGGTCGGAGGCCATCGCTGTTAGGTTCGAGGCCATCGCTGTCAGGTCGGAGGCCATCGCTGTTAGGTTGGAATTAGACTTGAGGTTCCTGGGCGCAATCTGCTTCACCGTGATCCCACTGCGTGTGGGGGGCAGCCCAGCACTGGAAGGGAAGACGCCCAAAGTAGCAAGGAGTGGGCGAAGGCAAGGCAAAGTGTATGGCTATTGAAGTTTTAACAGATGTGAACTCTTGTGTGGACCCGACAAGGCTTGATTATTGATTAATGTAGACTCTCAGTTGATAAACCCCCAATATGGAGGAAGAGGTTTTACAATCCAAATTAGGGGGATGTGAATCAAGTGTCTACAGTCTATACATGATTCTGATTCGACGTTTTGGAGAGCTCTAGTCACTAGTCTATCTCTAGGTGTGAGTTGACTGGGCACCAACAATGGAACCAACTCCTTGCCCGACTTCGAGGATTCAAGATTTTCAAGATGTATCGTGGAGTAAGTCTGGAGGAATTGCCTCGTTGATGTCATTGGTCGTTAAGGGTGTCGAACGGCAAGGAGAAGGGGGATCCTATGATGCGTCATTTTTAGGGGATCTTTTGGTGGGCGAATTGCCGGGATGAGCTGCTGGCCATCGTTTTTGGCATGTCAACTCTCCAGTGGGGCGGTCCATATAGGCGACCTCAATCGAGTTGCATGATGGCCGCGCCACGGCTTTGGCGTGGTCCCACTGACCTCAGACACTCCTTGTATATGGAATAGTTACATCATGTTATGTTGCATTATAGGGTCATAAATTTAATCTGCGAGGGGACTAAGACCGGCAAAGTATCAAAGAGTCAAATCTATGATTCCTAAGACAGTTAGTTCTTGAGTCTTTGAGTCTTTGCGTGGGAATTCTTCCACCGCGGAGTCTTTGCTCGTTCCTCGTCACCTCGTCACGCCGCGGTCCGCTGGAGACTGACCAACGACGCCTCATGAGGGTGAGTGACCATGACTTGGTTCTGGTCAAGTGAGTCATACCAAGTCATAGCATGCACTCCAAAATTTATGGGAGTTTGAGTGGGAATGACAACCATGTTTTTTTGTTTGGCGGCTCCGGTCACACGTCCAGGTCGTCTTCAGGGGGGAAGGATGGGGAAGGTCTTCCATGTCTTAAGGGAAAATCTACAGCGAAGCCATTGGTTTTCACATGAGTGTGTATTAAAAAAGGGAGACCTCCCAGTTCGACACCCCAGAAGAAGGGAAATTGACAAAAACTCATTGGTTGGGGGTCTCAGTATAAAAACATGTTAAAACAACGGCTCATTTAGCTGTACACGCGCGCGAATCGCGCCTCTCCCCCTGGCTCTCCACTTCCATGAGTGTTTTACCTCAGCCAGTCCTTGTCCTTTGCGATATCCGCCCAGTCATGTGGGGAGCATTCTTCACATGGTTTCTGTACAAAGCAACACTCGCAAAACTTCCCAAGACACTCATGAGGCCTGGCTCAGCCAGGAGCTCAGCCAGGATACCCTGCCACACCAACCCCATGTGTAAGGTAGCATCAAGTGCGTGCGCAACATGGGCAGAAACATGCGTCACAAAACCACATAATAAATGCATCAGAAAAAAAGAATCACACACCTTCTTTACAAAAGATGTCTTCAACGCCCCACGAATACCATAGAAAAGGGTGACGTGAAGAAAACACTGTCGACACCAGCAAACACCAGTCAAAAATCTCTGTTTACATGGGGCAAACCGTTTCGAGAAACGCGCGTGTACGTCCAAATGGAGCCAAAAACAAACATCCACATGTTATCACCAAAACTTCTTCATCAATTTTCCCTTCAGCCAACCACTTCTGGGCCTGCTTTGTCCCTTCGCAGAACGCCGCGCGCGGCACTCGTGCCGCCCTAGGCCGCTTTACTGGTGCCACAGTGGTTCCAGGGCGACTGGATGGTGATGCTGACCCTGAACCCTCCGAGCTGAGTGGAGACCTCCCTCTCGCCTCGGTGACCGCGGATCCGAGTGGATTCGCAACAAATCGATCGAACTGACCCACCAGTTGTGCCCCGCCCTCGAAGAAAAGAGCGCAGTCCGGGCCCCAACCGGTCTTTAGGGGGCGCCAACGGTGCGGCGCGGCGTGGAGGGATCGGAGGTCGATGCGTGGGAACAGAAGTCAACGGAGCGAAGACAGAAGAGATCAGAAGATTTTGTGGGATTCTTTGAGTGAGAGTTGGTTGATGTTGGTTGTAAACAGCACGGAGAGAGGTGGAAAAGCTATGCAGCTACAGCTCATCAGTTCCAAGTCCATGCAAGCGCTCCCTGGGAAGAAGGATATGTGCATATACGTATATATTTGCACTTTCTGTTCCCGAAGCGTCACGTGTGTGTGTGGGTCTCAATTCAATCGATGTAGGCTCCCATGTGCAGCATCGATGCAGGAAGATGGTCTCAAGTTATCTAACGTTCATCAATGCCACTGAAAATTGCTGGATCTCAAGTCTATTATGTTTTGCAGGGAATTAACATTGATGGACTCCTAAAAAATTGATGGTCCTCTAGCAGTGGTTATTTTGCCCCGGTTGGGTTTGTGCTGGAGGTACAAGAACCTTAGGTCCATGTTAGCAAATGGGCATGTATTCCTTCCTGCCAATGTTGCGGGAGGGCCATGGCGGGCACAGCCATCATGCCGGGCGAGGAAGGACGCCAGACCAGGCCGGGAGATGACAGAGAGAGGCCAGCGAGAGAGAGAGAGAGACTGGTTGGTGCCTTTGAGCACTCGAACTGGCCTGTCGGATGGAGTGTTGTTGATTCTTCGGATGGGGAAAGAGCTGAGATCTTAGTTGTCCGGAGAGAATCCAGTCAATGTGTCTACGATTCGCTCGTGGGCGTACGTGCGGTGCCTTCGTTGACGTCGATCAGCTCCCGAGATCGATGGAGGCCATGAAAACACAGATGTCACAAGATCGGTACATTTCACGCAAGCCGAGTCGGGTGTCTTTGGATCGAGATTGCATGGCATGATCCATGTTGGGTGGCAAAACGATGTCAACCATTTCCCAATTAAAATAGCTAAAAGCTGGGGTCAATAGCAACTTGGTGCTGATGATGCGGGCCACAGGATTCGCAGTTTGTTCGTTGGGGGGTTCACCTGGGCCTGGGTGCCAAAAGACCGTATCAGTGCTCCAGGGAATTCGACGGACGAATGACAGACCCAGTTTCAATCTAGCGTTCTATCGCCAATACCATCGTGATCCAAGCACCATTTGGGTGTGGTATGCATGCCACCATATATATATATATATAATACCACACCATACCACACCATCTGATTCAGCCAACTTTGCCCTCTCAGGAGAACCTCGCCGTTGGTGTCTCCTCAGCATCGCCTCGCTTCCGCTCGTGCGGAACAGCGGCATCGCTTCAGCTGCGGACCGAGCAGCTGGGAGGCCAAAGGAGTGAAGCCGCGGACCGACAGCCCTAGTAGCATCCTTGCTCCTAGTAGTAAGGCCAGGAGCCCCTAGTAGCATCCTTGCTCCTAGTAGTAAGGCCAGGAGCCCCTAGTAGCATCCTTGCTCCTAGTAGTAACGCCAGGAGCCCTAGTAGCGTTCTTGCTCCTAGTAGTAACGCCAGGAGCCCCTAGTAGCGTTCTTGCTCCTAGTAGTAAGGCCAGGAGCCCCTAGTAGCGTTCTTGCTTTTAGTAGCAAGGCCAGGAGCCCCTAGTAGCGTCCTTGCCCCTAGTAGCGATGCCAGGAGCCCCTAGTAGCGTCCATGCTCCTAGTAGTGCAGCGTCCTTGCTCCTAGTAGCGATGCCAAGAGCCCCTAGTAGCGTCCTTGCTCCTAGTAGTGAGGCTAGTAGCGTTCAGGAGCCTAGTAGCTTCTTTGCTCCTAGTAGTACGGCCAGGAACCCCTAGTAGCAGCCCCTAGTAGCTTCTTGTTCCTAGTAGCACGGCCAGGAGCCCCTAGTAGCGTTCTTGCTCCTAGTAGTAAGGCCAGGGGCCCCTAGTGGCTTCGTGTTCCTTGTAGTAGCTTACAGGAGCCCTTAGTAGCGTCCTTGCTCCTAGTAGTAAGGCGGTGAGGGCGGAAGCTGACAACGGTGCTAGAATTCCGTCACTTCCGATGAGACTTGGTGCGTGACCAGACTCGGTCGGTCTCGGTCTCGAATCGGCGCTTTTTTTCTGGACAGTCCTATAGGCACGGCGTTTCTGGCATGTAAACATGAGTCAGAATAGTTAGAGTGCACAAAGCCTCTTTGGCATATGATCCTTACAATCCCAGATATGTTGCGTAACTTGGAGCCTTTGAAGTTTGCTAGGTTCTCCTGCACAGGATAGACTCAGGAATCAGATCAAAGGATGCACCTTGAGCGAAGGTTTTTGTGTTTCCGCTCAGTACTGACTTGAGATTAGGAGCTCAAATCAACCACGCATTCTTCTTGATGTTGGAGTGGAGTCATCCGATTGCAGGAGAATGGACCCTTCACCTTCAAGGAGGGAAGAAGGGGTGGTGACACTGACGGTTCCAAGTCGACATGGATTGGGGCCAAGTCACACTGTATGTTTATGAAGTGAGAATTTCTGTCCCCACCGGCACAGCCCGACTGAGGAACTTCGCAAAGCTTCGATCGAACGCGCTCCAACAATATCCTCAGAAGGCCCATCATACTAGTAGCTTCTTGTTCCAAGTCGCGATGGCCTCCACCCTAATAGCAATGGCTTCCAACCTACTGAACCATCATCTGGGGATGTGGTTGGAGCCCTACTAGTATAGGGAATAAAGACGTGGTCACATCGCGACCTCTCATCATGTTCGGAGCGTGTTGCCTTGTCGGCATTGAAGGCTAAGCAGTGGTTCAGTGGTTCCAACATTATGGAAATTCATTGGGTGTGTCCCAGCCAACCCGTAACAGTTGGTAAACAAGTATTTTGTAGAGAAAGGCCTCTACTAACCGTCATCATCCACTGTTACAGGGAATGGGATGATATATCCAAGAAATACAGACCATCTCTCTTGAAGCAAAATGTGGATGTGTTCCAACTATTTGAAGGCTTCTCCAGCTCAACAGGATGTCACCTACCCACTCAGTGGGTAACCTTGAACTATTGGTATCCACTCTAAACGGGAACAGATGGAAAGTTCGATGCGCACAACATGGATCGTGTCGCCAGGATCTCCTGGCGAAGTGGTATAGAACCGTTCCGGACGCCGCGCGAAGTGGTCACCTGACTGTTCTCAGTGCAGGATTCGACACCTGTGGAGCTCCTGAAATCTGTGAGACGATGGAGACAGACGCATGAGGCGCCATCCGTGCGGTGCGAAGAAGAGTGTCACGTGCGCAGGAAGGGTGAAGGCAATGAAGGCTCTATATATATATATATATATATCACTCTTTATATAATACTCTATACTAGGCCATCGCTATTAGGTTCTACTAGTATAATTTTCCACTTTCCACGCACGCCTGGTGTCCATTGGATTCGGCTGTTTGTATATGAGTTGTTTGCGAAACAACACCTGCCACGGGTTTTTGGAGCGTTGCTTTGGGGGGTGCGACCCAACGACGTGCTGCAGACGAGACGACGACACCGCCGGCTGCATGTGGCATGGCTCGATGGCAAGAATGAGGAGCCGCATCTCATAGAATCACTGGCCGACAAAGTGGAAAATTGAGAAACCTTGGGTTAAAAAGCCCTCCACTACAAACAACACCCCTCCCAACAGCCCATCGATTTGTCCAACTGAATTGGATAGCCCTTCTACTGATCCAGGCTCAGATTTGGATTTGGTGCCAAATGAATCAGAAGATCACCGCCCTTGTGTGGCCCAGCCAGACCGCTCTTTCCTGCCAGAAATGGTCCCCCACAAGCGGCCGGTGATCTCCATACCACCTCTCAAACGGCTGGGGGGGAGGAAGAAGAAGACGAGGATCCCACCCACCACACATGGGTCCTTCCGTCCTTTTGGGCAAGGGTTCGGGAAGGCGGGGCCACGGGTGCATTATCAAACGGGGCTCCACCGTTTGACTTGGAAGATTTCACGGGTCTCTGCACCGAGCTGTTTCCAGCCACCCACAGCACTCATCAACAACCAGGATTATGACAAGAAGCTGCCTGCAATGTCTATTAAAGCCAAAAATCTGACTGAGCCATTCGCCTTCCGGGAAATCTTGATATTCAATCCTATTTTTGTCGGGGTGCCGGATGTGCGAAGAGAAACGTTTCTGATTCTTCGTTTTGAGGTTGGAGCAGGTCGGAGAACGCTTCAGCAGAGACATTTTGAGCGGCTTGAATTCGCACGCGCATCAAGTGCCGGTGTGCAGAGGCACCTGATGCGCCGCTCCGGTTTCACTCTTTCGGACAGCATGCGGGAGCTACAAAAGAGTGCGAACGGGCCGTTTCACTTCCAGACATGTTTTTACGTGTCCAAAATAGGGGGAGGGGCAAATGTAATGCTCGCGCGAATGTTTAGCCTCGAGATCATCATAATAAATTCTTCGACAAAAGCGTCGCCATGGCTGGTTGGAGTATGTTGATGCCGTCATTGCTTTTAGCTCTTCTGATTCACCTCCCTCCGCAGATGCGGCTGGAACTTTGCACCACGTGCGGAAAACGCCCTCAATCTGCACTGTTGTGGCGGGGCGGCGAGCCCTTTGCAAAATGCCTGCGGCGGCTGCTATTGCTCGTTTTCGTAAAGATTTCTGCTTACTTGGAAGCTACGATGCAGGTCCGACCTTTGCAGTACGTCACCTTCGGGAGGCTGGTGGCAATCGAGGTGAGAGTCTGATTCATATGATCATGGTTCTTCATCAACTGAACGTGGAGTGGCCTCATCACATATCGTTGCGCACGGGAGAAACGCCAGAGAAGGCGATAGCCGTGAGAGAAGAATTGGCGAAACGCCGCCCGCTTTCTCCTCTGGACGGAGGCACGGCTTGCAAGCCGGTGGCGCGAGAACTGTCTCTCTGCAGGACTGCACGTCTGATCCACGGCTTGGACGAACTGCAAACCTGCGTGAGAGAAGTGATCACGGAAGCCGGTCTTCCCTTCCTTCCCGACACGCGCAAAATGCACGTGTCTCTTTGATGTTAAACGTCATTTCGGCTTAACCGCTCAGCCGTAGCAGGCATGGATGCACGTGCAGTTTTTCATCCGGGCCACGAAGTATTTTGCCTGAAGACATATCGAACGTGCTGCGGAGTCGAAAAAAAGGCGTCTTGACGCGCGAACAGAATCAATTTTTGATGTCAAAGGATTCCATTTCGGGCAAATTCGTATCAGGGATTTTCGTGTCGGAGTTTTGGAACGGGATCAATTTGTCATATTTTACTCAAAAAGGTGAAAGCAATAGAGATTGTGCTAGCTATATATGCTATAAAACTATGACCCAACTCTCTCCAAGCGCTTCCACAAGCGCTGGGAACCATTCAGTGCTCTGCCCATGCCTGAGAAAGTCAAGGCCTTCCAAAAACTTAACCTCTACGTGGCCTGGGTCGATGGCAAGAATGAGAAGCCGCACCTGATTAAAAAAAAACTGAGCAACCTTGGTTTGAGAAGTCCTCCACTACAAACAACACCCCCCTCCCCCATCGATTTGTCCAACTGAATTGGATAGCCCTTCTATTGATCCAGGCTCAGATTTGGATTTGGCGCCACATGAATCAGAAGATCCCCACCCTTGTGTGGCCCAGCCAGACTGCTCTTTCCTGCCAGAAATGGTCCCCCACAAGCGGCCGGTGATCTCCACACCACCTCTCAAACGGCTGCGGCGCGCGACCAATTCCAAACCCGCAGGCCTCATTCCAGAGGATTACATCGCCATGTGCTCTCGGTCTTCCCTCTCTTCCCGGGCCAGTCGTGAGCTTGATGCTGCCGTTGTTTGTGTCAATTGGAACCCGAAAGTCTAAGCCCATGTTCATCCGGCCTTTGCAATTCCAAGGCTTTCCGGCTTCCACCGCCCAGCCCCTATACTATTCCTCTGCCCATGATTGAGCTGGATTGCCTTTTTTGTTTGTTGAGACTAACTGGCGACACAACATCTGACGTGTTTTCACAGGTGTTCCCAGTCTTTGGTATTGTTGGGTCACCGTGGTCGAAACGGGCTTTATTTCTTCCATCCAACTTGCAGTGTCAGATGCACAATCCAAGCCGTGTTTTTTTGTGAGTGAAAGCACCTTAAAATTAAGCAATCTTAAAACATGTTGGCCCCAGTCTTTGACTGAAGACACCCAAAAGTCCCTTCAGATGAAGGAACTGGACATTGCAGCAAGACCACGGTTCGGTTCGGTCCGGTTTCTTTGAACCTAACCTAGACCAGTGCACGGTTCGGTTTTACTTCGGTTCGTTTTCATGGTTCCAATTTCTCAATTCGCGCGGCTCGTGCTTTGCCAGAGTTGCTGCGCAGGCACACCGACACACACGCGAGCGGGGGCTAACAATTCAAGGTCCAAAGGGCTCTTGCCAAGACTTGGTGAAGTGAGAACAGGCGCGCGCAAGAGGCACAGACCCATGACCCCATGTACAGACACACATATGCACAGGCCCAACCACCCTATGTACCTAGTGGGCTAAATGGACTTCCGATGGTGCGGCAACTGCTGACCTGGGAGGGTGCGGCGATCTCGATGACGGTGGCCTTTTGGAATTGTGTGGGTGAAGTTGGCTGTGCCATTGATCGGTTGAACGGAACCTTTTTGCAAGGAGAGGGTACCGTTAGACAGGTGAGCACGGTATTCACGGTATACAGGAAGAATGGACAAGTAGTCACCTCAAGCACGTTTCTGCATGTTTCAAAGCGTTTCAAAGCTTTTCAGACAGGCCCCTGCCCACCTATGCAAACTGACCCAATCTTGAGAAAGGTGGTGTCGCGCCCTTGCCTTCCTTCTCGCGCTCATGTTCGCACTCATGTTAGTCGTGGAGTCCTTCTCAACGCTGGCAGCGCGGCGCACACGGTGACACACAAGCGCAAAAAGGACATATTCGCAATTTTTTCTCTTTCTTCTTTGCAGGTGTTTCATATGGTTTGAAAAGGGCTCTGAAGCGTTTGTCCGCGAGGCTTGTCTGTCTATTCCTCTTTGTCCGTACGCGGTCATTGTACTTTCTCCGTTTAACTCTGCTCGACCTTTTTGTGTTGCCAAGAGAAGTAAGCTTCCCTTGGTCAGGAAATTGTTTTTTGTTTTGCTGGTTTCTGTGGCTTTGTCCTCCTTGCAACAATTGAGCCTTCCTTTGTGCTTTGCCATTTTGGTTTGTCTGCTTGCCTTTTTGTTTTATTCCCTTCCTTTACTAGGGCGCACTTAACGATGTCAAAATTTCATTCCTGCATTTAAAAATAATTGCTGCTGGGACCGCAGCTCGGAAGTACTCAATGATGAATCCAATAAAATCAATCAATAACATTAAAGCCCGAATAGAAAAGGTGGGTTAACCTGCCCATGGGACAAGGGCAAAGGAGACCCTCATGCAGCCAAACCGGAGATCTGTCATGCAGCCAAACGGTCCTGTAGCCGTAAAGCTCACTTCTGGTTGTTAAATGAACAATCGGTCAGGCAGCCAGGCTTCACGCCCCTCTCTCTCCTACTCTCTCCTTTGATAGTGGACCATCTCCCCCAATTCGAACTTAGAATTGAAAATAATTCACCTATTCAAAAAGTTTCATATCTGCACTTAAGGAAATCACCTCAGTAGTGACAGGGCTTGGTATGCCCTCCCCTTAGTGCAGTCGGTAGCGCTACCGACTGCAGTAAGCCTCCATGTGATTCTCTTAAGTGCAGGTGAAAATAATTCAGGGATGCTTAAATCAATGCAAAAACCATGCCCCATTGATTGAGAGCCATGGGCTTACTGAGGTCGGTAGCGCTACCGACCTCCCTAAGGGGGGGGTATGGCATGCCCTCCCCTTACTGCACTGATTTCCTTAAGTGCAGCTGCATTTTGAAAATAAATAGTTTCAATCAGGGTGACCAGCAAGAAAAGAACATATCATCCGCCGAAAGTCCAAACAGTGGTCAGAGACTTGACTTTCCACATGTTCTAGAGAATCATATCCTTGCTTGAATGTGTAGACAGAAATTCAATAACAGCACTGCTGCTGTAAGCTTGTACGGATGGTACTAAAGAGCACATGCTTGTTCCATGCCCTACCGAATCACAACGGGTCCTAAAGAGAGAAAGCTGTGACTTCACGGGGTGCCCTATGTTTGGGGAGTTCAAGCCAGACATCCCAGCCTTCTCCCCAACTCATAGGGAGATTTAAACATGTCAAAAATAAGGGAAGTGATTTTTTGACTTTGTTAAGTGCAGGGCAGTTTACGTGGTGTTTTGTCTGACTTTGGCACATGAGTCCTGGTGCTTCAAGCCAGGCTGACATGGAGAACGGTTCGATTTTGCGATTTTCCTGGCCAGTTCGGTTTGTGTCTGTTTCGGCTCTATTTTCGATATTCGGCTCGGTTTCCCAAAGTCCGATTTGATGGTTTTCGGTGCAATTTCGGGGCCATCCTGGCATTGATATCCTTGAACAAACTGTGTGTGGTTCTTGAAGAGCTCGATGGAAGGATCTGTGCGGCACAGATCTGCTGCATCCCAAATCTTATGAGGGATAGTTTGTCCATCGAGTGTGTTTAGGCGCCTTCAACTTACCCCTCCACGAGGTAGGATAGCAACACACAGAAGGTTTGGAGTATGGATGCCCTTTCCTCTGGCAGATAGTTGCAGCATGCAACATGCCAGTTTGGGGAGTTCAAATCCCTTGTTCCATCACGCAGGGGGGTGGCTCCTGCAGAAGCTGTGCTGGACGCCATTGATGATTTCGCTTGGCACCAGCAGTGGATGATGACTTTTGGCTCTCGTGTAAGGTCTTGTCGATCATGCGGGACCTACAAGTGCACGCTGGTAAAACCACAGCCATGTATACTTTGCTTGAAGCCATGCTGACTGCAAGAAGGTGAGGGAACTATATAAGATTGATTGCGAATCAATTGACCATTGGAAACCAGAACAGATGTCGATACATACACCATCCTTGCCAGTACCAGGGTGCCTGGACTCGTGCATTTGTGTTTTGCTTCGAAAACCGATGAGTCTGATGAAACTCTCCAAAGGCCCTCCATTTGCATGAAGACTCAGCGGACGGCGACGTTCGAGACCCGGTGTAACACCGAACGTTCGACCGACGTCGAGGAACGTGGGCGATGTGAAGGGTCAGATCTTGGATGTCGCCTTGGGGGAAGCTTTACGACTTCATCCCTCAGGACGAGCGGAGCTCTCTGGGGGGGGGGGGGGGGGGGGAGCGGGGAGAGAGACAGAGAGAGAGAGAGAGAGAGAAGAGTCGGGCTTGAGAGGGCTGAGAGTGCAGACAAAAGGTAGCCTCGATTCCGGGTTTGCGCCGCAAGTTTGCAGGTCAATGGTATTGGGTGTTTCAGCTCTGGTCACAGTTGTTTTCAAAGAACTGATCCAAGGAAACTGATGGAGGACAAAACATACTAAAGCTTACCTATAACAGTTTCGCCAATGTCGGATGGTCATGTGCGCAAATTGTCCTTTGGGGTTTTGGATCTTGCTTGGTTTTAGGACGTTTGAATTGAAGGCATCTGAAGCCCTTGCAAGTCCAGGCCGAGGGAGGTAGAGGGAACGAGTCATATGTTCTATCCGTGTTTCCATTTCACATTGCTCCAGCAGTTTCCAAGTGATGTTGGTTTCACTTCGCAGATTGTGCCGGACATACTGGGATGTCAAGATCTGCCAGCCAAACCTTGGCTGTAGTTTGCTTGATTGGTGCGGCCCGTTGAGGCCAGTGCAGATATGATATTAAGATACGTCGCGCGTTGTGCATGTTGGTCCCTTATCCTTCGATTCCCAATGATTCATATCGCAACTCTGAACATTTCACAGGGACATATTGGGCTCGTTTTTCGAGGATCGTAGTCGTCATAGACACCCCAAGAACAGGAAGCTTCACTGCACTTGAGCTGGGCACCTACTTGGGTTCCTTGGAACAACTGCATCGGGGTTCCGGAACTCCGCCGCACACGCGACAGCGGGGCCTTTGTGATTGAGTTCGTTCACTCTCCCCTTTAAAAAAAAAACACGTACCGTATAGAATGGTTCACAGCCAGCTGGGACATATTAGGACATATAGAAATGTTGCGGACATGATTATTACTGGTTGCTTTCCCTGAGGCTGCAACTACTGCCTGTACTTGTCACTACCAGTCAGTCAGTATGGTCCCAGTCAGAGAGTCAAACGACAAGTCTGAAGCCCTGATCTCATGACCCCAGCGATATCAATTGAACCCTTGTCAAATTGGAAATGCATCACCTGCTAGATGGGTTGGATTTGGTTCCTGAACCTGGCCCCCCCCTCCAGCAAAAGACCCACGAAGAGACCTACTGGTCCGAGTTTGGGTGGCCAAGGGAGTTCTGCGTCCACACCACTCGCTTAGGCTACTCCGCAGTGCGTGTGGCACGCCGCCTGCCGCCCACTGGATCGCTCTACAGCGTGGAGAGCGATCTGCAAAGCCAAACGGTGGCACGGCAGGCGCGCTCTGCGGCTCAGAGCGGTGCGCGTGGGTTCGTTGTGGGGCGTTTCTTGCGGGGGCCATGCGGCCGTCAGTTTGGTTCACCTTTCTTGGGTGATTTTTCTGCACTTTCTGAAACACCCCTTTCGTCCCTCTCTTCATTCCTTTTACTTCTGTTCTATAATTCATTATTAATTCCATGTTGATTCCGGACGATAGGATGTTCAATTAACTATATAACGCTTTAGTTTTGGGGATCACTGTTCATTAAGACATGAAGAGATTTAGTCTCTTGGATCTCTCCTTACGAAGAAACTGAGTTTTTTGGTATCCCTTGTCATGAAGAGATTTATTCTTGGGGGTTTATGATCATGGGTTGACATTACAGGGTTCCACGCCGCAAGCTGCAGGTGTTGGAATTGGCACAGCTCCTCGAAAGGCTACCTGGGCGTTCAGAAATGTCGCTCCACAATTTGGTTGAGTTTTGCTCCTGCTCGGATTTTTGCCTCTGGATTCTTTGGGTTGGATCAGAATCGGGTATGTGGATGAAAAAGCTGGTTCTGGTTTGCAAGACTTCCATATTGTTTCATTCATTTTTGACAGATCTTTCTAGTGTCCCGAAATAACTCGTTCGTCAAGCACTCCGTGCGTTCCGCCATTGTTTGATGGATTCCATTGACCCTTCCTTGGACCTTTGTACTTGTACTCAATGCATGCTGCGAGATTGTATGTACTGAATGCCCCTTCCAAATTGTCTAACGGGATCCCTGAAACATGCTGCTTCACCACTGAAACAGATTCAGGTTTATGTGTCAGATCTTTCATATATATATATAGTTTGCAACGATCTCTAACGTCCTGTCAGTGATCAACAAACAACCCCAAGCAATAAGTACATATTATATTATGTATATATGTACTGATATGCCCGCAGAAGGAACCGACAATCTAGCTGTCACCAGATGACCAAGCTCTTGCATGTTTGGCTAATGAATTACTCTCCCTAAAACCACCATGGAAGTGGATGGCACCCTTTGTTTGGTATTCGGAAAATTGTCTTCCAAGGGACCAGGGAGTGTACGATTTGAATGGTTGCTCTCATTTGTCACGTTGCAGGGTCACGTTGCTTGCTGGCACCGCGGAAGCGCAAACAGCTGAGCTTCGGCGTCGGAGGCTCCAGTTTGCCTTTGTGTTTATTGACCACAAGAAGCAGGAGACCCGTGGAGACACATGTGTCACACATGTCTTGCAGTTGGCAGACCAACAACAACAATAACTGACGTAATGATGCTACAACCACTGAAAGATGTTGGTATATCTTGGTATTTTGCAATTGGCTTTCGACTGCGGCAAAAAGCATAGCTTTAGACTGAGGGAAATCAATGGAGATGTGGGCACCCGACCGAACATTATTCTTAATTGTGCATTGGGAGCTCCCATCCATTAAGCACTCACTTCGCAGCACAGGACTATTTGCCTGCCTTGCGACGCTTGGAGGAGTGAGTGTGACCTGTGCTCTCGCCGCTTTCGTCAGAGAAGTTCACCAACAAAACATGCTGTTATAGTTTCTTCTTGGCGACGTTTGTCTTTCATAACATTTGAAAACCTTTTAACACATGGTATTTGACATTTGTTTTCACAACACTGGTACTGACACTTTAATTTGTATATGAAAGGTCGAAGAAAACCACGCGGACGGAGCATTTGTTATTGGTGAAGAGATCGGGCGTGCGTCCTTTCCAGGACGCGGGGCTGCTACGGCCCAAAGCAGCTATGCTGAAGGAGACAAAACGACTGAGGGGACTGAAGTTGTAGTTGTTTGTATTTCTTTCGAAAAAAAAAGACCTCCCAACCAATTGATTTACTTTGATGTTGATGTTATCTATTTGGGGTCTCCCTAATGCAACCATATCTGAAGACAACACATCAAGGTATGCGTCGAAACAACAATTTGGTTGTCTTCAGTCAGACCGGTGGTCCATGTTCACTGAAGACCATCGCTTCGACAGCCTTTGTTTTCAGACAGCAGAACATGTGGCTTCCTGGTTTCAGACAGCAGAACATGTGGCTCCCTGAAATTTTCTTGAACCTCAATGTTCTTCCTTTTCAGAAGGTCCGACGAACACCCGAATTTTATTGGCAAGGCTTTTGTTGGGGGAAGGAGCTTGACCTGGTTCTCGAACCAACCGATGTTCTCTCTGCCGGGAGTGCTGTCCCACCATGTGGCTGTGGCTTTTTGGAACGAACTTATGCATAAGTGGGCTTATAGGAGTTAAAACCTAGGTTATAAGTAGGACTTAAGTAGGCCTTGTTCTTTTCAATCATAACTTTTTTGATTCGTTCATTTTACGCAAGAACTCCCTTTTCCTCATCCACTTTGTACAGGCACAAATGCCTTGTATCTGCTCCATTCGCGGATGTCCTGTCGCACCATCAAGTCTGTCCACCAAGATTTGAAGCATTTGACAGACCTGCAGATTGGCCATAGTTCGAAAAAATACAAAATCTATCTCACCTTTCGCTGTTCATATATAGGCGTGCAACGGGTCCCTTGAGCCACAAATTACAAAACATAATCACGTCAAACAGTTCGAAAAAAAAACATGGGTCTTAAGTTCAACCTAAGTCGAACCTAAGTTAACCTTAAGTAGGAACTAAGTAGAAAGCATAAATCCAAGAAGTTAGTTATACGATCACCAAATTAGTTATAAATAGAGGCGATTACTTAAAATACTTATATAGTTTATAACCTACGTTACAGAACTTATAACCTAAGTTATAACTTCAACAAGAAACCACAGCCACCTGGCACTAGTGCAGGTATACTATCTAGCAAATTTACATAATGACTGGATCTTTCTTTTACCGGAGTTCATAGGATTCAGAAGCCCATGGGGACATGTCTACGTTCGCAAGCGCTGTTTGGGTGAATCGTTTGTTCTTTGCACTCGCGATCGCGTCCTGATGGCATCACCTCAACTGAAGGCAGTCGTGGTGGCTGACAATGTGGGGCTCATGGAGATCAACGACTATGCGGAGCACGTGCGGAGTTCTGGGAGCTACTTGAGCCACTTGGCACGGGGGATCCGGAAGTTTAATTCAGAATGATCAAAGCCTGGAAGGATCAAGAGTTCTTTGGGTCATACCAACGAACTAGCAAGTATCCTAGATTGGTTCTGACGCCCAGATACACCTCCAGAGCGAGAATGGATTTTATGGGATCGGATTTTGTTTTAAGATAGTCATGCACCGTGCTTGGTTGGTTAAAGAGCCCTGGTGCCACTGGAATCCTAGTCCGTCGAATCCATGGGAATCCGAGTCCGTCGAAGATACAAGTCGCCCTCAAGCACCGTGGTTCTTGGACAATAGACATCCCAATTTGCATCCTTAACTTTAAAAGGATCATAATAGAACAACTGCAGAAACCAAAAGGGGGTGTTTCTTGGGATGTTCCTTTTCAGGGCATTCTATTGGAGGTTCCATCAGTGTTTCTCCTTCAGACCGCCGTCTCGTTCACCTACCATGCCAGGGCCCCCACAGAAAAACCGACACTCAGGTGCTTCAGTCGCATCAGAGGCGCTGAACGTCGGGCGACTTCGGATTCATTGGGTCTCTTGCGGGGTCGTATCGTAAAATTGGATCTAGTATGATCTAGTAGCGATGCCCTAGTAGCTTCTTGTTCCTAGTAGTACGGCCAGGAGCCCCTAGTAGTTTCTTGTTCCTAGTAGCTTCTTTACACTCCCAGGAAAACTCACATATGCAGATGCAAGTGAAAGTGGATGGCACCGTCGCCCGTTTGGTGACATCATGGTGACTCATGGCCATGCCACAGTAACCATGATTCTTTCGCAGAGTGTATGTTTCATCAGCCAGGACCTTCCCAGCGACCTCTTCAGGATTGGTAAGTGACCTTTTCAAGGCCTAAGTGACCTCATTCTGGGATCTCAAGGGCGGTCACTGGGAAGGTCCTGTTCAACTGCACCAAACATCCTCTTTGGGGTTTAAACCACCGAAGACGGGGACTCGCCGGCCGCCGAAGACGAGGTGGAGTACTTCACCGAAGACGAGCGGGGCCCTTTGAGTGATGCCATGGAGGCCGGGAGCACGACCGGTGACCGAGCTGCTTCACCCCAGCTGCACGCCGGGTCAAGCGGAACATCGGACCAGGATGGTCCCAGGAATGAAGCTGACAATCTCGAGACAAGTCATGTGCCTCCACCAGACGCCACTGAATTGGGCCGTGTGAAGTTGTGCGTGCACCAATGCTAAGGTTTTCCATTGGTCACCTTCAGGCCTCTCCTCTCCGCCTCAGGTCTCCGTGTATTTGGGCGAGAACTCCCAACGAGAACTCGCCGCTGACAGCTCCCAACTTGATCCTTCCAGGCCGCTCGGGCGAGTGGCTCGTGCGCGAGTCAGTGCGCGAGGCTTCGGGAGAGTCTTCAGGAAGTGGCCGTCATGGACATTGCTTGGTACGAAGGGACTGTAGACTTGGAACATTTGGATCTCCAGAGGAATGATCTGGACATCAACGGATGATATCTTGCTGTTGATTTTTTCTTTGTATAGCTTGTGTGGAGTTTGGCGAGGAACATTTTTGCGGTCCCTAGTTTGTTGTTCAGCGTCTTTTGTCTTGTTCATTATGTTTTTTTGGCATTGATGATTTGGCACACTCGGCCCAACAAAGGCTATGGCAGAAGACATATAGGAACCACTCCCCATGGTTGCCCATATGCGGCCATGGTTGCTCGAGAGTTCCTCCAGGTGGGACTTCTCTGGAGGCTCGGGGCGACGAACGAGGACGAACGAGTCTTACGAGTTATCGTGTTTGTGGCGACACCCAGAAACGCCTTCCAACTGTGGATTTCTTGGCCCTGTGGTGATCGACAAGACTTTTGGCATAGATAGATCTAGATAGATCTCCGCCAGAACCGTGGATTGAACGACATGAATGCGAGCTAATGTTTGAACCATTTTGTGGCAATTCTGCCGTTCAACTGTTTGCCACATCGATTGGAAAAGATCAGCAAACTGGATCAACCAAATGGCCTTTTAATTTTAGCCTCCTTGGCAACATTGTTTTGGAGGAAAAGATAGGAGACGTAATCTGGCATCACGAATCCTCAACCTGTCCCTCATGTCACTTGCAACAGAACCGGAAGATTCCTGAAGTTTGTCCAAGCTGTACCGGGGAATGGATTGGCAGATGGATACTGTAAGCAACTGGAAGATATAGCTTAAGTGGCTTGGTCGGAGACAATCTTCCACTTACAATGCCGCAGCGTCTCCTCAAAGCGAACTTTTCTTTGGGCCAGGTGCCAGCTCTGTTCAATGCACCACCCTCGTGCGCGAGTGAGAAACAAGGGGCGAGTCGTGAGAAACTACATGAAAGGCATTGAATTTTGGTGTCTCTGAACCAGGAAGTTTGCCTCGTAATGGGTCCGGGTCAATTATTGTTTTTTTACTTCTCCTGTTTTTCCTCTGTCAGAGACATACCGTGACATAGAATTGCTTTTGTGTTTATTCATCCGACTATTAAGTGTGATATTTGGACCATGGACTGGAATCACATGGGGCTGAAGGGCGCTTGGTCCGGTGGAGAGTTCTATGGCCCTATGGCTCAAGGCATGAACGCCACGTGGGCGTTCCATGACTGACAAGCACCCAGACACTTCCCCAATGTGATTTGCTTGTTGTTTTGCTTCGAGGAGATCCTACAAAAGGCCACACGCTTGTGACCGCACATGGAAAGAGCCAGTCTTGTCCGGGGCAGTGAGTTCTAACAGCAAGAAACTCGTCTAAACACTGCTTTAGGACCATGAAATGTTGTTACATCCTGAGGATGGTCCGTGCATTTGGGGGGTACGAAAAGGGCCAGGTCATGACTACCGGCGGCATATAATCAGACTCTATAGCAAATGCTTCCAGCAATCAGGTCAAGTTGTTTATATGTTATAGACATGGCCAGCTACAGTCAGTAGCAAGAAGGCAAACTCAAGGGGAAGGACGCAAGGAAATATAAGGACATCTACCTCTCTCACCTGAAGGCTATTGCAGGGTTCCTGTTCTCTTTTTCTTCCGTCTCCGAGAAGACACTTGTCATTCCCAAACAATTTCGACACCTGTCCATCTCAGGTATTGCTGAAAATTGCAACATATACGGCCTTTCACACAAGGATCCCAAAGATGGCCACACCGACACCAAGAAGCCATCACCTCTCGCCCACCTGACATCCGCTCTCTCTCTCTCTCTCTTTAGCCATCCGGCTGAGACGCTCGCGGTCTCGCGATCCACTCCGCCGTCATGGCCATGGGCCTTTCTGGTGGCTTCGTGACCGTGACCTCGCCCAGGCGTCACATGGAATGGATGCTGGTCACCGGGATGGTCAAGGGGCATGCTTTTGTCTTCACCCGGCGGACTCTCCGGAATGGAGAAAACAAAATACAGGAATAAGTGGTTTGGCTTTGGGTTGGATCATCCATATCCATCCACGAAGAAATGGGCCTTTCTGTCGTGACAGAGATGGGTTCCAACCAGCGGCGCTTCAGTTCCTTAAGTCTGGCCAAACGCTGGTAGACATCGACACCAAGTGCTCGCTCTTGTGAGCTCACTCAAGAAGCATGTGTTTTGTTGTTTTCTGAGCTTGAGATGATTATACAGTTTTGAACATCCATTTTCTCAACCTTGTGCACTAAAAACAAGCTATATAATATAACTAGTTATATACCTGGGCCGTGTAAGGGGTGTCCATTAACCAACCCCTTAGGGGGCCCCCGCTGCTTCTGTTCCCCCGCTGTGCCAGGCCATCCCTGTGGTGTTCCTCTTTGCACCACGTGCAACGTGCAAGGAGACATGGGGATGTCGTGGTGCCGGAGCCCTACTCACGCGACTGGGTGCAGAGCGCTCGTGTGAAACGGGTCGACACGGCGTTGAAACGCTTCTGGAAGGTTGGACCCTTTCGCTGGGGACATGAATACGGTGAAAGCACCTTTTTCTGGAACATTTGGCCATGGCCAAAGCAGGCCAGGGATGAATCCGCGGATGTTGGATGGTCAGAATCCAAATTTATACACCAGGCACTCTGAAACCACTGGCAAGGCCGAGGGTTTTGCTCTCGAGACCAGCGGGGCCTCAGGTTGGCTATGGCACTCCTGTGGGCAATTCTCTTTGATGACCTACGGCGCTGCAGCCCACAGGCCCTTCGATGAGAAGCCAACAACGGTGGAAACATGATATGCGACAGATCTGATGGGCATAGGTTTTGAAGCACGGTTTAGTTCCAAGGAATTCTTTGATGCATTCAAGCAAATGAGGGCCTATGTTGTGTTTATAAAGGCTACATCGGGTAGACAGGACAGTCATCAGTCATGATATGTCATGATGGCAGATCATGTTCATAGGTTTTCATCCAGTACATTTCCACCAGCCTAGGCGATGGGGCTGTTGTTTCCTTTCCTTTCTGGTCTTGCTTGCAGGTCGGTGGATGGAAGGAATCGGGCGGGACAAAAGGTGCCTCTCTCCCGGGAAGATCCAGATATATCAGTTTAATTGCTGTGCATTTACAAGACGTGTTCTTTGGTTGATGAGATCCAATTCAATCATGTAAGTTTAAGAGGAACCGAGAGGATCCAGATTTCTTAAGCAAGATGAGGTTGTTCTTGGGATTTTGAGGTACTCGTATTTTGATGTATGTTGTTTTCCCTCCATCTTACGTTGTCATTTTGACTCAGACTGATCGGAGCGCACATCGGTCATGTGTACTCATCCTCACCTGCATCCGTCCCCGCGAACCCGCTGTCCCGGGGTCCTCGTTCGTTGGGACACACCAGGTGAACGGATCGAGGCCAAATCCCGGAACCCCTTTGGGATCTTTGGGGCAAGATATTTGCCCAAGAGCAAACGATAGAGCAGTTCCCAAGCAAGATGAAATTGAGTGAGGATATAGGGACCATGGTGCTTTGTTCAGAGGTCAACGTGATCAAGCACTGTCTTTGGTCAAGAACATATACTGTACTGTATTATGCAGTCGATGAAATGAGAACCTGCGCGTGCAACCCCGCAAATACACAATATACTATATCGGACCTCGGGTATTTGGACGTTCTGAAGCATTCCAGTTGTCCTTTCGGAACTGGGCAGGCCTCAACTATTGGCGTGAGGCCACTGTCGGGTTCCGCCGACGGATCGACATGCTGGCGGTGGCTGTGACGGTGATGCTCCGCAGCAGCGTTTTCAGGATTGGGAGTGGACAGTGTCTAATGTAGACGGGTGTGTAATTTTGATAGGGAGACCCCCAAAGACCTCTAGGAGAACATCAAGAGTGTGGGTCCACTTGACTAGCCTAGTCAAGTGGACCCACACTCTTGATGATATATTCAACTGTCCAGGCCTGAAGAGGTTTTTTACAGTCCATGTTTGGAGGAAGTTTATTCATCAAGAGTCTACATTTGCAGGACTGGAGAGGGAAAATGAAACAGCCCCCCAGTCAATGTTTGTGCTCATCCATCCGCTTCCCAGAAAAGTCGCTGATGAGTATGTATATTAGATTCGTGAGAATTATATAGTTTGTAGAGGAACACCTTCCAACCGCTCTTTTGAAGGTCAGTCGGTCTAATATCAGCCAAAAGCGCTGCGACAGGAAAAACTGCCACTGCTCGGGATGGGTAGTACAGGGTCAGGGAACAACATCTCGAATATTAGACCCTGAGCCCCAATATATATGTTTTAATCAAATGCTCCAATATGATACATACACCGCGATTGGAAAGGCTGTTGTCCAGATTTGCGAGTGTTTTGCACGCTACAGGTCCAGGTCATATCTTTCTATATAGGTATGTCCAATCCAAGTTTGCAGTGACCATGTCTACCATGCACATGTCTCTTCCACCCATGTGAGAGACTCTCACCGCTGCGAAGATTCGAGCAAGGTATCACAGCTGCGTGGCCTTTGGTGTGCTTGGGAATGGCTTGGACGCCCCCCCAACGGCCTTGCTGTGCCATCCTGTGCGGCCCTTCCTGGGACCCTCGACACGTCCGCGAAACGCGAGTCGCACACGCGAAAGGCGAGCCTCCAGGTGTCAACCGGGACAGGTGCGTTTCGGAACAGCGAGGGCAACCCGTGGCATATGACGTTCGGGTAAATATGGGTTCCATATGTCGGCGAGTCAGGTTCGTTCTTCCTCCGGGAAGCACAACTGGTGTTCAAAACCATTTGAACAAACGTTCTTTAAGGGCCACCTCAAACAATCAGAGGTCCTTTGGTAACATCCGTATTTGGCCACCTCTAAGGTCTGTAATGTCCACTTATCATTCAACAGGGGATCCACCGCCAACTGTTGCACCTAAATAGTCTTAACCCGCAAATGCTAATCCTGGCAAGATTCCTGCAATTTGGAATTGAGTTGACAGGGGATTAGTGTTGTGTGGGGGTTTTCAGCCACAAACTTTAGCCTTACTGTAGCTCTATTTAGGGTACAACATATTGAGGGCGTGCGGCGGAATAGTGGCTTCGCAGGGCACCCTCTCCAGAATGATTTGGTCATGAGTAAGTGATTTATATGTTTTTATTGTAATGTATAATGATTGATAATGTACTTTCATCAAAAACATTTGGGTTCTGGTCATTCCAGGTGAAATGAAATAGAAATGGCAATCAACATGAGGATCGTCGGAAAGGAACATGCTTCGATCCCAAGGACCCTCCGTCTACTCCGCCACTTACTTCACTATCTCAACCACTCGTGGATTCAATCCAGGTCCAGGTCGAAGGTGTCTGGTGTGACTGGAGGTGTTCCCAACCAACTGGATCCAAGTCTGCTTCCATACTGGATGTCATCCATGGATGTCCATGGCATAGACCAACGCTTCACTGTGGCAACGACTTCAGGTGTCGGCCCCGCAGTTCCAGCACTTGGCCCGACAGGAGAATCAGAGAAGAACGCGACTCCAGAGCTGCGTTTTTGCACAATGAGATCATAAAAAAGATCATTTAAGTGATGTTAAGTGATGTTAAGTGTGTTACACATGTTTTTGCTAGGCGGACGAATTAAGGCCCTTCAGTTAGCTGAGCAAAGGCCCAAAGAACAGGTTTGGGTATTGGATCTATATTTGTAAACAGGTTTGGGTATTGGATGTATGTGTAAAAGGAAAATGTTGCTTTTGATACATTTGACTGAAATTGCTGAGCACTCCGAAGCGGCATATTGTTGGCAAGACCACCTCGTCAGGATACGCCCTGCTGACGATCTGCTTCGTTTCCATGTACTTGCGCGCTCGCTTTTGGGCAGCCAAGAAGGAGTTCCAGAAAAGTACGCCCTGGCATTTGGCTGTGCATGCCATGGGCAATTTCGGGAACTTGATGAAGCCTGGCACCTGGTGAGTTCAGCTAGTAATTAAGTAGTGTGTTTTGATGGTGCTGGTCAGCGACCATGCATATATTATAGATAATCAAGAGCCGGGGCTATTTGACAACTAGTGAGGCCAGACAAAAATGATCCTCGTTTCCCCGACAAAAACATCACAACATTTTCCAGTGTAGTCAGACTGGTTCGCATGGGTTGGGAGGATCGTGTGAGACACACTAGTCGACTAGATTTTGTTGAGATTCGCGGCGTTCCCAAGTCTTTGATGAAATCATCAGGCACCGATTTGGGGAACTATTTCTGCATCTCTCCGGCCCGTCCCCCAATGTAGATTCCTCACTAAGGATGTATCCTGGCTTGAGACCATGAGAGCATGAGCGCAGCAATGTATGCGCCCCAATGCTGTAGATTCTAAATTCTGTGCGACTCAAAAAAAGAGATGCTTGCAGAGGCCCATCGGGTGTGCCCCAAACGTATTCACAGAAAGTGGGATCAAGCTTCCAAAGTAGCTTCCAAGTATCCTTACCTCACAGGGTGAGCGGCTCAAATCTTATACTGCAACGGTGTTACGACATTGCGCCAAATCCTCATCAAACCAATCTGCACCTGGTTCTTCAAAGTGATCGAACTTGATCACCTGGTTGGTTCGGCCACTTAAGCCTCCTGTTTGGGTCACGAAAAGGAACCTTACAAAAGGTCACGTACTGAAGAAGCTGGAAACTGGAAAGACGTGCTTTCTGTGTTTTTCGGCTGAGGAGTGCCGGGGTGTGTCAGTCACAGAGTCTACCTGCCTGCGGCAGAAAGAGTTTGCATCCATTTAATCGACACCTTAGGTGTCTTCAATTTTAGCACCTTGCTTCTCTGGTTGTGAAAGAATGCATTCTTCTTCACAACTGACAAGTTACGAAGAAAACTCGATCCTGCCAGATCCAAGTAGAGGCGTTGAGCATCGGAAACGTGCTGAATCTTGTATTGGCCCTCCCATGCCACCGAACTTATCTCCAGGAACTCCTCTTTTCAGGACTTCAGCATCCAACATCCAACCATATCCAACCGTATCCCATGCACCCGCCGTCTATCTCCCAGACCTCACCGTTGCGGTACCAGCGGTGAACATGTGTTCACCGTTGCTTCTTCCGCTGGAGCTGTTGGGCTCCGGAACCTGGGCGCCCGATCGAAGCGGTGAAGGTGGGGCCCGGTGACCTGCGGGGGGGGGGGGTGACGTGGCGCCGAAGACGATGGGTTCACGGTGAAAGGACAAGCTGTGAACGAAATGCACCCGATCCATCACAAATCGTGTGTGTGTGTGTGAGAATGGACTGTTGCGGGACAGGGAAACGCCTAAACTGCCAGTTCGGGGTTGAATACCTGGTGCCTTGGATACCCCCACATGTCCTCTATGGTGTAGGAATGGAAGCATAGGGCATAGGGAACCGATATTGAACACCCTTATCGAGGTGAGTGACTTGGATCGATACAGGATCACCCAAATAAGTAGGTTGATGTTTTTGTTTCTGTTGATGGTTTCTTTTTGTTGGGCTACTTTGCTGGCTATAGTGACATGCACATATAATTATATACTGTAGTCCGTCTTGAATTGTCCATATAAGTGTCATATAAGTGTTATGTGTGTTTCTCTGTTTTTTGCTCCTACTGTCCAAAGGCACCATTGTGAACTTCCCAAATCTGTGGGGTCGTGTTCATCACTCGGAATGTGGACAAATGTGGAGATTCAAAGGTACGAAAGACACTTTTCGACCTGCAATGCACCTGCAGAATTCTATTTGCAAATGTTTTCGACATCATTTGCCGAACTGATTCACCCACACACACACACACGCACACCTGAGAGTCTAAATCGTCTATTAGCTGGCATTGCAACGGACCGTTTTCTGATTTCACCTCCCCGACCCGTCCGTGTCGCACCAGGTCCGCCATGTCTCCGATGGCTCTCCTCCAAGAGGTGGGAAACCGGATGTTTTGCCCATGACTTTGGCCACAAACATGACAGGTATGAACTCTTGATCGGTGAACCGGATCACCGGATGCCAGGTGGTGTTCTAGAATTCCATCGAAAGGACCTGGTAAATGGCTCCCACGACTAGTTCGTTTTGATGTGTTCGTCCGTGGCCCTTTCTCTTGGGATAGGCACCTCTCGTCAATTGACTTCTGTCCAAAGGGCGTTATTTTGTTGGATAAGCTCCTCGTGGAGCGACATTTGCACCCTGAACACGTGATGATCCCTTTGTTGAATAGCTGTATTTTAAGGATCTTTAAGGGTATATAGTATGGACCATCCTTGTGATTTCCGTGTTGCAAGATTCTTTTGCGACGCCTTCACAGAATGAGAATCAGAAATCCTCCACCGATTGTATTGATTATTCTATACATGGATTTGATGGCACCAGCGATGCCAAAGTGGCGACGCCTTGCAGGAGTCTTGATGGCCATCAACGACCAGGTGGGGAGTGGCAGTGTCGAGGTGGGCAGGCAAGGGGATGTCCCTGAAATGCACGAGAAACACATCAATGCACAGCAAGCTGCTCAAGACTGCAAGCAAAACCAAATGTTATGGCCCAGTTGTCTCATGGGAGCTCAGCCAGTCACTGGAAGTTTCCAAGTGCTATTGAGGAGAGCCATCAATGGAAGATGCTCAAGTTGAACATGCACACCCTTTTAAGCATGTACAAGTGAGATGCAATTGAATATGAAATGATACCAAGTCGAGAACTGTTCGTTGCAATTCTTTGTCCCAAAAGGTCTTCTAAGGAGTTCTCCTGTGTTGGATCCTGGCCCTGTTTGGCTTAGGCGATGTTCCAATTCTCCTTGCCAATCCAACATGGGTTTGCAGATTTGAGGGGATTTACCTGTGGCTTCAACTCCTAGAGGTGTTTTCCTGTCAGCGAGGCGGTTCCTGAACCACCGCTGTTTGCCGACGGTGTGTCCCAGCCGGAGCCGAGCCGGGACGGAAGCAAGATCGGTCTTCTAGGTGTGTAGTGGAAGATGCTGTGGATATTTTGTGTTGTGGCAAACCCCACATGTTAGTTTTACCAGGTCAATTTGTTGAAAGAACTGCCACACCGTACCAGAGGAGCATGCCCACACACAATTCTTGTACCCCACGAAAGACGTATGCTTTTCAGATTGCAGCGGAGGAAGCAAGTAAGTGGTGGAGCTCGGACTACAAACACAAACATTATCAAACATTCCGTTACGTTCCGTTGCGGCTGCTGTACTGGATAGGATACCCAATATATATATATATATATATTTAAGGGCTTACGCCCGACAGCCGGCCAGGGGCCCAAGCAAAGGGGAGTGTTGTTGTTGTGGTTGTTGTTGTTGTTGTTGTGGTTGTGGTTGTTGTTGTGGTTGTTGTTGTGGTTGTGGTTGTTGTTGTTGTTCTGGTCGTTGTTGTTGTTGTTGTTGTTGAGGTTGCTCTTGTTGTGGTTGTCGTGGTGGTAGTTGTGGGTGTGAACGTAGGCCCCGCAGCCGCCACGATGCAGACGAAGCTCCCCAATGCGGCACGCATTTCCAGCATTATTGGTGCCTATTTTCGGCTTATGTTAGCCCATGTTAGCCCATCTGGAGCCACAAAGACGGACAAGTGGAAGAAGCAGAAAACACTGTAAAACACACGATTCTGCATGGTCTGTTGGGGGGTCGGCGGTAGGGGCGGGACTCCACTCTCTCCTTCGGAGAGGAGAGACTGCCTACGGCAAAGACACGGCCAGGCCCCTGGCCGGATTTAAAGGCTTACGCCTAACAGCCGGGCGCCGGCACACTAGGGTCT